TAAGTATAATTTTGAGATACTTTACTTGAGTATTTATATTTACAGTATTTACATGTTTTGCTACTTTGTACTTTTACTCCACTACATGTATTTAATACCTTTAGTTACTTTACAGATCTGGATTAATTATGTGAAATATAATCAACTCTTAAATCAGACTTTAGTTCCACCTGGAGTAAATTCACAAGCTACCCTGCTGTGTTTGTTTCACCTTGAACAGCTTTGATAAACACATTTATATCAAATTAATTTGAATCCAAACACATCATAGATATTATTCTGAAATGGACCAATCTGCATAATGAGTACTTTTACTTTCGGTACTTTAAGTATATTTGAATGCCAATACTTTTGCACTTTTACTTTAGTCACATTTTGAATGCAGGACTTTTACTTGTAACAGAGTATTCCTGCACTCGGGTACTTCTACTTTTACTCAAGTACAAGATCTGAGTACTTCTCCCACCTCTGAGATTAGGTAAGTGCTCATCATGTTTATTGCTGTTTTGGCTGTAGTGAATGTCGTGTTCACTGACAGGAATCATGGGTAACTGCTCAGGTTACCCCCCTGCCCCCCCCACCCCCCAACACACAGCAAACAGCCCCACACCCCACTCCACCTAACAATAGACAATAGAAGTGATTTCAGGCCCTCACTGTGTACCTGGTTAAACTCACCCACTTCAAACAGCAGCAGCCCAGTGATCCAAAAGACATGAGAGCATCTGATCAGGTAAACATATACCTGCCTGGTTTGTTAAGGATAAAGGATAGCACAGATGACCAACAATATTGTCTCCCTCGCTTCTAGTGGTGGCATCTGGCTCTCAAATACTTTGGCTTTTATGTGTCTTGCTCATTTCTGGATTTTATTTGTGGCACTCACAGCAAAGGAATTTTTCGTTTTAATATTTAGCAACATGTCTTTCCAGAAACAATGTCCCTGTCACTCTGTGTAAGCAGTTAACATTGGCCACTATTGTCTATCTAATAAATAGTTTCTATAAATACTGTTGCATGTGAATTTGCGGACTAGTAAAAGTCAAAAGTAAACATTTTGGGGAAGGATTGTTGCAGCTAAAAGTTATTCTTCAATCCAGAAAGCACCCACAGTAAAGGTAGTCTACATTGTATAAGGGTTAAGGCATGACGGACATTTCAAACCCTGTACAAATGAATCAACTATCTGCATGGGCGACACTAGAGGAAAGCAATTGTCCCCTAAAAGAGAAATGACCCTTTAAGGATCCTGGATACATCAGAGGAAACAGAAGCTCTAACTCTGATGTACTATACACTGCAAAGACCTGCAGGTAAATACTTCATTAATATTGAAACACAAAGATGGTTCCCGACTAAATCTGTTTTAAACAAAGAAAGGAACATCTCTCTGCTGTTACTCTTTGATGTTGGCTCGATGCATAGTATTCAACACACACCTCAGTATTAATGTTTTCTGCCCGCCCGCTCACACTGTGGAATACACACCCTGCATGTCTATTCTCTGCATTAATACACAAACCCTTCCAACACACAAAGACCAGTCAGGGCTGACAGGTAGGACGCTGAGTGCTCTGAAACTGACATTTACACGTGAACAGCTGAGAGCCTCAAAGACCACAGAGAGGTTTTACTGGATATTATAGGGGGGCATTTCTCTGTATAACACAGTCACAACTTGTATTGCTACAGAAACCAGATCATTTTGAATACTAACCTGTGTTTGTTTTGTAATATTTTGAAATTCTTGTTATTGCACATTTGTATTGGTGTGTTTACCTCAATAAGATTATAATGACGTTGTTTTCAAAATTAGCAAAATGATCTGTTAATGCTATTTCTGGCTCGCATACAGTTGTTTCCCCACTAATGTGCTCTGTCCTTTTAAAATAAACAAATAATCAATGTAAAAAAAATAATTTAAATAATTTAAGCCTGTTATACTGGCTCAGTCATAATATGTTGCGCTTTAATTTATAGTTTGATATATACTATTTTGGTATGCAATTATCTTAATTATAATATTCCAACTGAAACACTATTGGGATAAAGTAGTGTAGTGAAAAAAAAGTACAATTGCTCTAATACTCTACTAACATTCTTAGGTGCTTGTATTTACTTGAGTATTTCCATGTTATGCTACTTCATACTTCTACTTCAGTTTGGAAGCAAATGTTGACAGCTTTAGTTACTTTAGATTATTAGCTAACACTGCATATAAATAAACTAACAAATAAACTATGCAACATAATGATATCATATCATATGTCATGATATCCAGCAGCACTATAAAGTAATTAAAGGTTTCACATCACCAGCTGCTATGAACACATTTAATGCATCAACAATCACGTTATAAGTAATAAGTCATTCATTATATATCATTCTGAAATGGGCCATTTCTTCTACTTTTGGGAGGCTACTTTCAGTATATTTTGATACCTAAACGTTTAAATGCAACACTTTGTACTTGAAACAGAGCACGTCTAATGTATTATTGCTGCTTTTACTTAAGTATACAATCTGAGTTCTTCTTCCAGTGTTGTTGCTTTTCCTGTGTTATTTGCAGCCTCAGTATCGCTCGTTAATATATTATGGGATGCCTGTAGCCTGGAATAAACACCAGGCAGACAGACAGGCAGGTATGCATGCAGAGCTTCCATTCGACTTTTAGGAGCAGAGGGTCCCTCTCAGGTCCCTCTCACATTATGCAGCGGATAAAGAGTCAGGAGCGGCGGAGGGTTTATGGGCCGCGGGGCCCAGACTTCAAATAGCGGGTCCGGATCTGCCGGCTCGGTGTCAGCTCATCAGCGCATTTCAAAAGAGCAGCCGCGGGACAATGGACCGCCTCACACCTCCATATAAAGCTGGAGATAGACGGACTGTCAATAGAGAGCCCGGCCGACAGCAGAGAGTCTGAGGCCGGACACCTCGCGGACTCCCGCAGCGGATCTCACACCTACATGTTGATGAGAGCTTTCCCACATCGCCTGCTGGGAATTAGACGCACATGAGACTGATCCCGGGTCTGATCTGCTGCTGCGTGTTTACTGAACCTCTGCGTGGACACTACACGGGCTTTGCGCTCTTAATTGTGCAGTTTATGTGCCTGAGGAAGTTATTGTTGCGCGTGCGCAGGGCCGCCCCTCCCTACAGGCAGATCACGCAGACTGCGTGGGGCTTCACCTCGCGGAGGGGGCCTCATCTTGCGGAGGGAGCCTCAACTGAGCCGCAAATGCGGCGCACCTATGCGCTTATGCGTGTGGCGAGGCTCCCCTAGCACCCGTCCCCCGTCGACGCTCGCGAAACAGAGGGCCTCATCATCTAGCCAGGGACGGCCCTGCGCGTGCGCAAAGGAACCGGGTAAAAGCTTTTGCGCTTTATCCAATCACAGGATTAAGGGAAACGTTTTTTGTAATGTTATGGGTAGAACGCCTAATACATCTTTAAACTTTTTAGATTGTTTTTATTTCGACTTAGCGATCAATTAGTCGACCAATTCTTGCAGCTCTTGCCTACTTCAAATACTGTGCTGTCTATATGTAAAACACTTGCATAATAGTGTATGTTTATACCTCATGTTGGCCTTAAATCTTGTAGTAATTGCACAAAGGAACATAATAACTCTCTATCACAGTAATGTTATATCACTGGTGTATTTATTGGGCTTGTTTCAATGTGAGGCTACTGTTTAGCTCATATTCCTGTCCAAACAGTGACATGCAGTCTAATATTATTTCAGAGTGTTACTTGAGCGACCTCAGATAACCTCCTGTGTTCTGTCAGACATTTAACATCCTGATCGGCATGACCTGTCCAAACACCTGTTGTGTTTTAATCATAATAACAGTCAAATCAGGGTGAAACAATAAACTGCTGCATTACGTACTGCCTTGCATCTAATAAAGAAAAAGCCTAAACAAAATATTTGAGAAAGAAATGAACTCTGTTGGTTTTCAGTATAAAGCTGTTGTTGTCAAGTTTAATTTGTACTGATTATTTTATCTTTCAAAGACACAACACAGCTGGTTCAGTTCCTGCTGTCCTAATGCTGGATGTAACATCTGGGATGTTGCATGCTTGAGGAAATCACATCTTTTTCTAATTGCTAATCTGACGTTATAACGCACATATGGAGGCAGAAATCAAACAAAACACAGAATTAAATCTGTCATCACTCTTAGATTTGACTGAGAGGTATTTAAAGACATTAGACAACAACAATCAGTTCTCCTTATGCTGATCAGACTCACCGATCTGCATGACGCGTCCGAACACCGACGTGTTGTCCACCGTGCTGCAGTTCCACCTCCTCTGTCTGAACTGGAACTGGCACTCCTTGATGCCGGTCTTGGCTCCGTCTCCGATGTGGACCATGTGGTCCTGGTACAGCTGGCACAGCTTCCTCTGGCCCTGCAGATTAGCAGAGATTAGTTAATGGTTCCATGCTTCAGCGGTCCCTGTGAGGATATTCTTAGGACTCAGATCAGGGGTTAGTCTGTGTTGAAGTTGATGTTGTACAGACAGAAACTGAGCTCTTGGAGGTAGGTTTGCAACAAATGTATAAAAGTATATCTAAAGAGACTCACCTGGGAGAGACCGGACAGCTGGCTGCACAGAGGCTGCGCTCCGATGATGTACATCTCGGGCCGCTGGATGGGGGTCAGAGCTAGTGACCTGAGAGACAGAGGGCCATAGTGAGTCTAAAATTGAACCAATAAACTCTATCTGTTACCATCAGAGATAAGTGGCAGAGACAGGATCTCTGTGATGTACGACTCTCCCTGGAAGGAGGTCGGCGCTGCAGAGGACAAAGTTCAGACACAAGTTTATTAGTACGACTGGCCTATAAAGTGAAGATAAATAGACTGCTGGTGTTCATCTCTGCAGGCACTCCCCTCCTTTCTCCTTGCCTGTCCATTTCACCCAAACAGTTGCGGCCAAATCATACATTTTGAATCATTTTGGTTTAAAACCAAGTCTCAATTTGTTCCCTCATGCAGAGAATATGACAGACTCGTGACCCTCCCATTGAAAGGCTATTCTGATTCTACATAAACTGACAGGAAGGTGAACCCAATCCTGCTCTAACCTGCACACCCCCTCCTCTACATTACCACAAAGCCAACCTAACAGCATAGTTGCCCTGTAAGTCAAGAACAAGTGTGGCTAATTGAGGCTCCTGCAGCACAGCAGCAGCAGCAGCAGGCCGCCATGCGGGCCATTTGGGGCTCAGCAGGGTAAATATTGTGACAGAGCCCTCACATTTGTTCCATAGGGCTCTACAGGACTGGGGGCATCACCCCCAAAACACACACACAGACACAAGAGAAAACAAAAAGTCTATAGTTCACATTTCTTGGCCATTTGTCTTCTTATCAACGGCATCCAAGAGAAAAAGATTGAGGAGAAAACATTTTTTTAAATTAAGCTTGTGTCATTTGGGCATAACAAAACAGACATCCCTCTGTATGTCAGAAAAAGGGATGTGTTGTATATGTGTCTATGTAAATGTATTCAGGCCCACTGTGTTTAGGTCCTGTCCTGCATGTGTATTTTGTATACTGTGTGTAATTAATACTGGGTGAACACCTGAAATTCCCCTTGGGGAAGGTTCCTCTTCTCCTTCTTAAACACATTGGGCTATAACATATTCAACAACAAAAAAACATGTTCTAAAAATCTGTCAAAGTTCTACTACTTCTACTAAATGGATGTCATAGGTCATCAGTGCTCAAACATAACAATGTATTTATCTTTCAGTAACTCACCACCATGAGTTGGCATCCACCACAAGCAGTTGGGAGCTGCACGCCAGGAAGGCGGCTGCCAGAAGCAGATGCCGCAGGGCGCCGGTGCGCCTCCTCGGGACCGGCCTGGTGTCCATGGTCCGCCGCGTCACCGCCACACAGCCGCTGCGGGGGAAAGAGTTCTGCTGTTGAGACATGGGCAGACAGTCAGGAGGGGTCCGTCCTGCTCGGGACAGCGTGTGGCGCTGCGAGGACAGTCCACTGGTCTGCACCTTTCCTCCCGATGTAGTGTTTAGAACTATACAAAAAAAACCTGAAAGGGGCTGGCTAAAACTAATTTAAAAACGGCAGATTTGTAATCCTCAGGGATGAGAGTCGGTCTGAAATTACAGCAGCATTTTCCCAAAAGGCCAGGGTCTGCTTGTTTAAAATCCAGTGTCTCCAATCCAAAGGCGTGCGTAAAATGGTTTTGGTATCAGTTAGGTTTTACGCAAAGTGTGAGAAGTGTATTTCCTCCCCCGTATTTGGAGATAAATACACAAAGCTACAATGTGAAAAGTGTGATCCTCTTGTTGTCTTGAGGAAAGATTAAGAAGGAGATTAAAACGCTAATTGAGCAGCAAAGCGACTGTTCCTTTCCCTTCCTGTCCCCTCACCACCACTCCACGTCTCTCTCTCTCTCTCTCTCTCTCTCTCTCTCTCTCTCTCTCTCTCTCTCTCTCTCTCTACACTCCTCCTTTTCTCACCCCCACTTCACCCTAACCCCCCCCCCCCGCCCTCTCCCTCCCTGGTTATACATTGCGCGCGCATAGGGGTGCATTTGTGTGAGCGGCGAACCACCAAATGGGTATTGGACACAGTCAACAATGGGAGCAGAGACTGGAAACACCTGTGATGTTGCATTCAGAGGTTTTAAATAAGAATAAAGAGCAAAATCAATTGTGTTTTTTGGGGCAAGCTCTTCCTCATTACTTCAGCCGAAACACTAAACAAGGCCTTTATGATTTCTGTCTGACCGGGGATCAGTTTAATGTCCATGGATCATCCGCTCCTTTAATTAAGAAGTTAATCTTGTGTATTATAATACCCATGTATCACTCATTTGGGTCAAATATGACCAGCAGAAGGTGTAAAGTAGGATAGGGTAGAAACATAATGAGCGATTGGATTTGAACCCTTTACAAAACCGACCTCACAAAAAGTTCACGTGCGTCAAATTCCTTCCATCAGCTGAAGTGAATAATTTGTTTGAATAAAAGGTGAGTGCTTCAAAAATCGTCTAATCCCCTCTCTGGTCTGCGAAAAAGAAAAAAAAGACCATAACACACCATAACCCCGCCTCTCTCACATACACACACAATATACGCACGAACACACACACGCACGCACACACGCCTGGGACCTGGGGGGGGGGTCTGTGATCTGAGGGGGTCTGGGGGGTCCTAAGCCTGAAGAAAATGCCGTTTTGAAAACATTCATAAAAAACGGAGGGCTATTAGTTTAAGGAATGTTTTAGTTTGACTAATAAAAAAGTCATCAAGTTCCATAATCCTGAAACACTAATGCAACATCACATGTGGCTTGATCCATACCGGACATTCGTAAATGAGATAGAGATCTAAGATATGTCAACATTATAATATTTGGAAATGTGCTGAATTTCTTTTGGGTGTTTCTGCAGAGAATCGGATGTCCCTTGCTTCTGCATTATAATAGATCGGCGCTGCTTTCATCTCCCGGGGGCCACACACACACACACACACACACACACACACACACACACACACACACACACACACACACACACTGATCGAACTGGCTGCCTTCAATAAACGTCTGATTGACATTCTGCAGTGGGCGGGTTTTGGGTCAAAGCCATGGTTGAGCGAGGGAATAAACAATGAGATGATATAACTTTTTTAGGAAACAGGAAATGGATTATAATATATTATAATATGCAACACCAGGTAAACTGGTCCGACAGACCCTCAGTGAGTCACCCTGAGGCTGAATAAATGGTTTTCGCTTGCTTCCTGTTTTTCCACTTGTCATCTGCAGTTTACAAAGTTATGCACTGTATAAGCCTTTCTGTTACATGCTGACTATACCATGACAACAGCGCCCTCATCTGGTGAGATACATACATTTATTTATTTCAACATGAACTCACAAAACTGTTAAAGGGCCCATGTCATGCTTTTCCGGTTATTACCCGTCCCCTTGTGTGTTATGAAGGTTTTTATGCATGTCAACGGTGTGCAGAGTCAAAACCCTCAAAGTACACCCTGTAGCGGGTAAAACTCTAACACAGAAAATACCTCCCCAAAACGCCTCGTTGGAGATACGTCACTGCCCATTTGAGTCTTCCATTTAGTTCCGGGTACGGCATGATGTCATGCGGTATACCAACAAAATGGACCAATCCGGAAGAGCTATGGCCACACCCAGTGGCGCTGGCCGCACCCTCTGCCAGCCTAACATTTACTGTTGGAAGCTCTGGTTCAGTTCACAATCGATCCAGTCATGCCAATGCCAAGGACCTGTTTCCTGAAATGTGAGGAGAAATCTGAGCTGTTTGTCCTACCGACGGAAGAACCACGACAAAGTCAGTGGTTGAAATTTCTTTTTAACACTGTTCCTTCAGAGGTTCGAAGAACGTTACTGTGTGCGCGGCATTTCACAGACGAAAGCTTCCAAAACATTGCCCAGTTTGAGGCCGGATATGCACAGCATTTGAAACTGAAGGACGATGCTATTCCTAGTTTGTTTGGACCGTTTGGAGCAGGGGAAGATTCGGGTACACAACCTGTAAGTTTGCATTGTTATTTGTGTATTTATCAAACAAGGTATCTGTTTAAATGTGTAAACGTGTTTCGGACTGCTAACTGGGCTAACTAAGTTGCTAGCGTTTCCATATATCAACTCCAATATCAGCAGATGGCCTTACATACATGTATCTCATAGCAGGAGAATGTCTGCATTCACACACGAAATACTCATAGACAGTATACTCCTGGTGATTTACCGTACGGTCAGTCGCGAAACGTAATTACATTATAGCTGGCGTTCCGAGCGTGTATGCTACCGAGCTAAACAACAAGGCTACTAAGAGCTAGACATGAGTTTGCTCGGAAAAACATTGTTTTTATGCCAGCTACAATGAATGTAGCAGACTACCCATATAAGATTGCAATTGTAAACATGTGCTTGATAGCCTAATATGAACCACTATCTGTTGTTCATAGTATAGTATAGCATATTACACTGAACAACTAGCAAACGTAGATTAGCATTGTAATCCAGCTGGCAAGCTGACGAACATCAAACAACTAAGTTTCAATAATATTTTGTGATTGCTAACAACGTTGCTAGCGTTTAAATATATCAACTACAATGTCAGCAGATGGCTTTACATGTTTGTCATGGCAGGAGAATGTCTGCAGTCACACACGGAATACTCATACAGTATACTCCGGGTGATTTACCGTACATTGTGACAGTACATGTACATACTGCATGTATAGCTAACGAGGCTAGCTATACATGCTAGCGCAAAACAATGTATTCATGCCAGTTACAATGAATGACCGAACGTAGCAGACTACCCGTATAAGATTGCAATTATAAACACGTTATTGCTAGCCTAATATGAACCACGAGCTTTTGTTCATAGTAGTTTTATTACACTACATTATAGTTGCCGTTCCTCCGAAGCTACCGTTCATATCGTGTTTGCTACCAAAGTAAACAAGAAAGCTAGGTTAGCATATTAGCTGGCAAGCTTACTGTGTTGATTAGATAGATGGATTAGATAGATCCACACTCCTACCACAACTACCACTAACGAATCTAAAACAACTAAGTTTCTCTAATATTTTGTGATTTGCATTTGATTTCGTCCAGCCAGATCCTGGCGGACAATACATGACGGGGACGGGACTACCACACTGAGGCCTCGTCCTAAAAAGCCCCGGCTGCGATAGGCAAGATGCCGACAACGGGGAGGAATGGATGATATACCGTGTATATATGTATATTTATGTTCATTTTGTACATTTCTAAAAATAAAGTTTAATGGAAATACTTAGTAGGCCTATCCTTTCTTCCCTGAATTATTTGCTCCTATAACATATCATTCATATATAGCAAACCATGATTTGTTTTCTCATCAAACAGTAGTAGTTTATTACAGGTAAAAAATAACTTACTCTTCTATAACAGCAGTTGTAGGTACAGTTCGGTTAGTTAGCGTATAAAATATACGGCTGTACCGACGCCATTATAAGACTGATGTTCCGCTGAGAGCGAGCCGAAAAAAGCACTGTTAGACATGGGCGGAGCCTCTCTGGTGGTTGACTAATCAGAACAGAGAGGCCGAGCTGACCAATCGGAGCACACTAGGCTCACAGGGAGGGGGGGGGGCAAGAGCTCCAAAGAGCCGTTTAGTGGAGAGAGTGAATACTGCTGAATACACATACTTTACAGAGATGCTGTATGCTAAACCAATGTGAGTTTGGAAAATTGCACAGTATAAATCTATTTTAGTATACCTCAACAATGTAATTATGATCAGTGGAAATGGCCATGACATGGGTCCTTTAAAAAAAAAGTGTTTCCATCCTATGCTTCTTGATACAATATATTCCCTTAAAGTTATCTGAAAAGTTGTGACAGTAACAGTGATTGACACATCAGATGTTTGAGCCGTTAGTATTTACACTCTAAAACGGTTTCATTTAAATAACTGATTGAGTCCCAAAGAAGTTAAAATATACAACATCCAACATTCAACCTCAAAGGTTAGGTAAAAGTCCCCAAATTCACGTAAATAAATGTATTTTCCCCTCTTTTTCTAAATCATTCATTATTTCATGTTGTGACCCTTCGAGGGACATGACCCCCAGGTTTGGCTACATTGGACTTCACTACCAAACACTGCAAATATAGGAAGAAAGGCATAAGAAATAGTTCTGTCTCAAGCAGCTAAAGCAGTAAAATAGTACTTAATCAATTGTGCATCAGTTACATCAGTTGTAATAATGTCATATGTATATAATAATAACAAATCACAATCAGGGGCCATTATCTTTGCATACGAGTGATTTGACTTTGATGCGTTAAAACAACACATTCTCACTCCCAACTCTTCTGTACTTTAGTCGAATTTTGAATGAATACATTTAACTGATGATGACATATTCTTTATTTATTTTACTTCCGAATCTGAGCACTATAGGACCATC